AGGCGGCGGCGGCGGCGGCGGCGGTCGACACGCCATCGCTCGACGGGTGGCTCGAGCGGCTTAGGGGGCGGGTGGCGTTTGTGAGGGGTGTGGTGGAGCCGGAGGAGGAGCACCACGCGCCCACGCCGTGAGGACGGTCTCGGCTCTCGGGCTGTAGCTCTACTGGCCGGGTTGGAGGTTGAGCTTCGCGGGTTGGTGCAGGCGCCGCTCTCACTGCCTGAGCTGTGTGTGACCTCGATGTGTGACCCTCCCTCCCTCCCTCTCCCTCTCCCTCTCCCTCTCCTTCGCAGCTTCGCTCCTTCCCTCTCTCTATCTCGCTCTCTCTCGCTCCACATCTCTGTCTCTCCGCTCTTGCTACTGGCAGACTCTCACTGTCGCGCTCACCGTCCCTCCTCTGGTCGGTCTCGCTGTCTCGCGCATCGCGCTCGTACACGCGCCGTACGTCCAAGATCCAGGTCCTGCAACCGCTGAGGTATAGAGGTGTGTGTGGCGAGATCATGTTCATGATTTTCATGTGTGGTACGTGACACAAAAAATAATATGCTCTCTGTCTCTCGCCGCGACATGGTTGTGTCTTGTGACACATGCTCTGCGTCTGCGCTCTGGCGGGACGCGCCGCGCAGTGTACTGGCGACTACATTTATCCCTCTCGCTGCTTTCTCTTCACCGCCCTCTCGGACCGTCGACCGGTCTCGCGCGCGCACGCTCGCGCCTCGGTCGCTCCGCCCTCGCTCCTCGCTTACGCTTTTATATACGTACGCACCTTCAGCTGAGTTGGCCCTCGCTACGTACACACCTCACCGTCCCCACCCTCGCGATCGCGCCAGCACGCTGATCACGAATCAGAAAGCCTTCACTTCTCAAGACACCACCGCTGCGCAGAGAGGATCGCCGCCGACACGGCGAGGGTGACCGCCAGCGCCGCAAGCACCTCGTCGTGGGCTTCGAGCTCGACGACCGCGTCAATGGCGCCGCTGACGGCGCCGCACCACGCGCCGCCTTGCATCATCGCGAGAGCGTTGGCAACGAGCCGCATCTCGGCCTATCCACGCGAGGCGGCGCTCAGCAATCCCGGCGTCGGCCGCGCTGTTTGCAGCCCCGGTCCCCTCCATCCCGTCGAGAAGGAGAGGGTCGTCAGGCAGCGGCATGATGACCTGCCAGCCGTCAATATCCCTCGTGACAAAGTCCATGCTGGCGTTCATCTCGATGTCGGCTCAAGCCCGGCAGGCGGGTGGACGGAAGCAAACACGCGGACCGGCGAAGATCTGACTTTTTATGTGTACAAGGTACGTACTTTGAGCTTCGCGGGGAATCAGAAAAAGGAGAGGGGGTTGTGTTCTCTAGGCCCCTAAGGGCCCTACGCGCGGCGTGAGAGCTCTCTCTTTATGTACGTACGAAGGTCGTACGTACTTTTAGCTGTGTGTGGGCTTCGCTTTCGGGGGCGGTCACCCGGTCAGGGAGGGGTCGGGGCTCTGCAGGGGAGCGCGAGGCGGTGCGGGCCTCCTGGGCCAGTGGGAGTTGGGAGGCATTCGCCTCGCGCGGTGGCGGCAGGACACAAGATTTCTCGCTACCCAAGTGAGCTCTGTGTCTTGATTTGCCAACAACAAACCTAAAACGCGGCCAAAGCATAGATTGCTTTTCGCTGCAGCGCGGGCGAGAGCTTGTGCTGCGATGTGACCTTCTTGTTTCTTATCAACCTACCTCCTGTATCGGGGTTATGGGGGGTTTACGAGGTGTGAACGTGAACAGAGTAGCCAGATCGCTGTCGATCGTTACGGCACGCATGGGGGGCCTCCCGGACGTATGATCCTAGCCCAATAAGCGCCACGGAGCAGATTTGGATTTTTGACAGAATTAAATGCACTGCCCCCGCACGGTACTAACGATCGTAGTTTTGGGGGCGGCGCCCCTCACGGCACCACACTGACGCAGGACAGCCCGAGATTAGCCTAGCAGTGACTGGGAATCGCCTGCCGGTCGGCTTGGCATGAGCCAAGCACTTGGGTGGCCGTCAACCGAGTCCGAGCGGCGCCTGAGGTGGGTGCCACGGCGTCCGCACGAAGGCGTGGCGGGGTGAGGAGCCAGGGGTGGTGAACACCTCCCCGACGGGCGCGCGGCGCGCCGGATGGTCCGCCGAGGCCGCCGCCGCCCCGGCGGCGGCGATGGGGGCGGCGGCGCCGACCCGGCCGGCGTTTGTCGGCTCCACCTACAGAAGAGCAGTCTCTGTGGGTCGACGATACTAACTCGGTAGTAACGCTGAGCGGTGCTGTGCGACGCCGCGTCGTGCGCGAGGCGACCTCCTGAGGCTACCTGAGCTGGCAATGGATGCCACCAGGACGCACGGCTAGCAGGAGCCAGTCGGGCATGCCCTGCTGTGGAGCAGAGCCTGCTGGCGCACCGGCGATACTAACTCAGCGCGCCGCGAGAGGCGAATCTGGGCGACTTTGGAGGCGCAGTTCTCGAGGTTGCCGTCGACGATTGATGTCGGGTAACTTGTCACTGCCGTCCGGGAAGCTCTTCTCTCAGCAGGCCGAGCGCCGTGGCATCGCGCGGCTCGCAGCGCTGTCGCGGCGCCGAGAACCCCCAAAACTCGGGAGACCTCGATACTAACAAAGACTACGATACTGGAGGTATCTGTGAATAGCAGGCTGTTCGAGCCTGTCGGCGTCGTGTGCGATGGGGTTGGACGAGAAGCTCAACCGTCTGCAGCTGCGCGTGCTGCAGACGGCAGACCAGGGCAAGCTCACTGACGGCCAGCGCGCCGTGATCGAGGGCCTGCCATCGCCGCGTGGCCACCGCAACCAGCCCCCATCGCCGCTGAACCGGAGCGCGGCTTCCACGCCACTCGGGCTCGCCGGGCGCGAGAGCGGGAGCGAGGCGCCCCTGCTGCGCGGCGACCCCTTCATGGCGCCCGACTACTCCTGCGAGGAGGAGGAGGAGGTCTCGATCGAGACGGCACTCGAGGCGCTCGGGCACGGCACGCTGCAGCGGCGGCTGCTCGGGATCGCGCTGCTGCTCGAGCTGGGCGCGTTCGCGCAGCCGGCCCTCCTCGCCGCCCTCACCGACCCGCACGCCACGTGCACGCTGCCCGGGGCCGACGGCGCAGCGCAGTCCACCGCCTCTGCCGCCGCCGCCGCCGATTCGACGGCGCGCGATTCGACGGCGCGCAGCCTCGTCCTCGCAGCGCTGTGCGGGGCGGTCTTCGGCGGGTGGGCTCTGGGCCGGGTCTCGGACACTGTGTCGCGCCGCGCCGGCCTGGCCTCCTAGAAGTGGAGTGGGGGTACTTGCAGTCCACCTGGCACTCGGGAGGACGCGCGTATTCGGCGGCACTCCCCGCCCTCTCTTCCGCGGCTCCACTCCTCTCTAGCCGTTGTGTTCACGCGGTGCTCCGAGGGCACTGCACGATCTCCCACATCTCTCCCCATCTCTCGCCATCTCTCGTGTACTCACGCGGTGCTCCGAGTACACGGCACGACTCCGTACTCCCGCCCTGACGCTGGCGATTCCCACTCCAGGCCTCGCCACCTCCCTCGCCGCCCTCGCCGCCGCTGACCTCGTCACCGCACTCGCCACCGCTCGCCCGCCGCTGCTGCTGGCTCAGGGCGTCGCTGCGGCGGCGGCGAACGCGCCTAGAAGCCAACACGCATTCTTGTCTCCCAACCAGCGCTCGAGAGGACACGCATTCTCAGCCGCTCTTCCCCTTTCAGCCGTATTCGGCCGTGTTCGGCCGTGTTCGGCCGTGCTCACTGTACTCCCCTCCGTCGTCTTCACGCGGTGCTCTGAAGACACTGCACAACACCGTCTCCCTGCCCCGAGGCTGGTTCACTGTCCTCGCACCCCTCGTCCTCACGCGGTGCTCTGAAGACACTGCACAAGACCGTCTTCCCGCCCCGAGGCTGGTTCACTGTCTTCGCACCCCTCGTACTCACGCGGTGCTCTGAAGACGCTGCACACTACTGACGTCTCCCCGCCCTGAGGCTGGCGTACCCCACCACAAAGGCGACCGCGACGGCCGCCGCCGCGAGCGCGCTGTACCTGGAATGGCTGCCCGCGCGGCACCGCAGTCACACCAACGCCAGCAGCGACAACCGCACCGCCGCCTTCCACCGGCTCTGGGCTGCGAGGCCTGCCGCTACGCTGCTGCTGCAAGTGGTGAGAAGGCTAGAGATGCTCACTGCCGGCGAGGATCCCCTACCCCCCTCCATGGGACGCGCGTCCAATGCGCCGTGCAGACCGAGCATTAGTTCTTAGAGAGGTGAGCGCAGGGCTTTGTCAGACCACGGGCAGGGCACCAGGCGTTTGAGGAGGCGGCTAGCGAGGGGGCGGAGAGACGGCCCCTCTGGAGCGGCACACGGCACTAGTCCGACCATACCGCGCCAGCGTCCAGTCCCTAGCCTGCTGGCTGCTCCTCGCCTCCACAGCCTACCCAGTCACCGGTCAGGCTGTTCTTCACCCCTGGGTACACACACACACACACACACACACACACACACACACACACACACACACACACACACACACACACACACACACACACACACACACACACACACACACACACACACACACACACACACACACAAGCGACGTGCGCGGTTGTCCCTCGTGGCGCAGGTTGGGAGGGCGGCGGCCGCGGCGCGTGGCGGCGGAGGAGGCTCTCCAGCCGACACCGCTGTCTTCTGACTCCGCCGCCGCCGCCT